TTTATCCATACATCATTTTAACTTTGTGTTAAACTTAGTTTCATGCAGAATTTGTCCCTTCTTTCTCCTTCACAGTGACGGTCCCTGTTTTAAACTGTCCAGCCATCTATGAAGCAAAGGAAAACGACAATGTCACCTTCACATGGAACAGTTCGATCCAAACCAACATGACTTATACCAACATTATTTGTTTTTTTTACTCAGATATTGCCAGGGTCTTCTATGAAATGGAATGCAGTGATGAGTTTCTTCAGTCCCAGTATCAGCAGTTTAGAGGAAGAGTGCAGTGTGACAGAGATGCTCTCAGAGAAGGACAAATCAGGCTTCATCTATCTAGAGTCACAATGAAAGACTCTGGAAATTACTCATGTGACGTAGAGGCAAATTTTAACAAAATCTCACAGAGCTGGGTACTTAGTATGTCGGGTAAGATGAACACACAAAACGCAGTCATTTGGTTTGCTTAAGAGGGAAAAATATATGTATGTTAAAAGAAAAACCATCATGACACAATGTGCCCCGCTGAGTTTTTTATCCTGAACGTGACTCAGGCCGCAGATGGAGAACACCCTGATCTGACCGGCTACACACCCGGCCGAGGCACAGCTTCAAGTAAGAGAGCACAACTGTGATACTCAGCCTCTGGCTTGACATCAAGAAGGTCTCTCTTTTTGTACACAGCTGAAACTATGATGGCAAAGAGGATTTTAAATTGTCAAGCGACATACTGGTTTCCCATTGGGGATAGGCTGGGGAAATAACATTTACGATGTGCGTGTGGGTGCGTGTATGTGAGGTAATGCGGAGGATGGCTTGGTAGTGCCGTGAAAAGCACACGACACAGTCATCCCTCAACCTAATGTAAGTATGCCTAGAAGTTTGTAACCACATCACTCACCTACGCCACAGAGAGCTTTTCTGGAAATGTCACAAGATAAAGAGTTTTAGACAAAAAATAAGTGAATAACTGAATTTTATAATAAAGGGTCAACTATATCAATTACTCAACAGGCAACACATGGGCTAGAAAGAACTGCTTTTTGATCAGTGGGTCGTGAATATCTTTTTAAGAGATTCTTTTACTCTGACGTAAAGAATAATTATGAGTACTTTAAAAAAGTTTAGAAAAAATCCTTGTGGACTTCCATTTAATTCATCATAGTCAATTTCATTTGTATGCAGGTCCCTCAGTTTGTGAATTCGTCCCTGTTGCAATTGCTTTAAAAGCTCCTCTACGTATGATAGGTCACCTGATTTTTTTCCCAAACACTTGTGCACCACCTCCATGCAGGTGCAGGACATTCACCAGAAGGTGGACAGGGCGGCCTAACCAGAGGCCGGCCAGGCCTGGTAGTGGTTGCTGTGGCAGTTCTTCTGCTTTACCCCGTGTATCGTGGAGCTCGGGCCATAAAAAGCTTTTGGCTATCAAGGAAGGTATGTGTTCCTGGGACCTCAATGAGTTTATTTTTTTTAATGAAGTGTTTCTAACTTTCGTAGTTTGTGATTCAGATGAAGGGGTCCTGTGTGTTTTGCTTTTTTTTAGTCCTGTGAACTTACTCTCCAGAGGGTCCTCTTCTGTGGAGCTGGGCCAACTGGCGCCATACATAAAACCCAGTGTCACTTAACGTACAGGGATTTTTGCTGACCAAATCAAAATGAAGCATTCACCAGCTGAGATCAGATATTCTTTTTGATACAGTTCACTGGCTTCCTGTACATTTTAGGGTTTAATTAAAGATTATTTTAAACGGCCTTGCTCCACCCTACCTCTCAATTTTCACGCTTGCATTTCCCTTCCCGGTTTCTCAGATCAAGCAACGGGCTCCTCCTGGAAGAGCCGGGGCGCGTCTGAAATGAGAGGGAACCCAGCTGGGAGCACCCGGACTGGCACGCATTTGGCAGCACCTTAGACAGAATTTTCCGCGTATTTTTTAATAGTTTTTTACTGTTTTTCTTATCATCTAGTTCTGTGTACAATGTGTTGAACAGTCCGGTCAGTTGCTTCTATTGAATGGAGGTTCCCACCTGATGACCCCTGTGTAGTGTTGGTCTGTGCAGGGATCACAGTGTTAGAGGTTCAGTTGTTGAATTTAGACAATTATTCATCAAGCCTGCTCCATTTGTTTGTAGCATAAGTCTGTTGTAGCTCTTTGTAAAATACAATAGCTTTGCTTGGCTTGTGGTTTCCGTAACACTTTAGCGGAATTCCTAATCGTTCTCGTCAGGTGTTGCAACAGCATTTTAAAAGTCTTTCCATGATCTGTGACTCTGTATATATCATAGAAAGGGAAATGTTTAAATACATTTTGCATGGGACACGTGCGCAAATTAACCCCCTTGGGGTGAATTATACCTTCTATGTGGACAGTTTTATGGCCACGTGTAAAACAGCATTTTGTCCGTAAACATCAGTTTTACACATTATAGTACAAGTCTTTTTTTTCCAATCTCCAGCAAATACAAACTTGTTTTGTTTTTTTGTTTATTCGAAGTTTGACAAAAGATGGCGCATTTTTTGTTGTTGTTTTCTTGCTTTGTTTTATATCACAAAATATTATTGGGATTTTTTTTCCATTTAGATTTAAAGCATCAAACTTGAGTCTTGTGTCTAAATATACTATTAAATGGCTTCTTTAAAGCGTTTCGTTGTGCTGGCACCACAATTTGGTTCATTTAATTGATAATTAAATTTATACCAGATGATGAAATGTTACTATTTTTTTAGCAGCATTATAATTGAAGGGATTGGTTCCCTCACCTCCCTTTCTTTGGATCAAACCCCAAACTATATTAAACTGCATTTTTGGCCACCAGGTGGCTTTGTTGAGCAGCTTAAGTGTCAAAAACGTAGAGAATACCATTTTGAAATTTCAACTCTTCATTTTGCCATCAATAATTTTCTGGGGTCATGAGCTACAAGGGAAGGGCCGCCAAAAGAAACAGTACCAGAGAAGGAAGAAGTTACCCTGGGAATAGAAGACATTGCCTTGTGCACCAGGAGCTTTATCATTTGTTCACTGATAATGTAACATCTGTCAGAGGTAGAGTGTGTTGGGATTACTAGGATTTAGCTGGAGAGTCCCAAACATCTGCCCTGGAGAAGGGTTTTGCTGTGTCTTTTTCCTCGGAAGCATTTATAGTGTCAGTTTGTGTGGAGATTTGGCTGTTTGTCACTTTTTGATTACTACTTTATTGACTACATTAGTGTATTATGAGTTGCCTCCAGTCTCATTTTTCCACAGCCACCAAGTGTGGTATGAGTCCAACCGCTGACAGTGGCTTTGATTTGTTTAACATGAACTGGTTATATCTTAAAGGGCGGCACGGTGGTGTGGTGGTTAGCACTGTCGCCTCCCAGCAAGAGGGTTCTGGGTTCGAATCCCGGGGGAACCCGGGCCCTTCTGTGTGGAGTTTGCATGTTCTCCCTGTGTCTGCGTGGGTTCTCTCCGGGTTCTCCGGCTTCCTCCCACAGTCCAAAAACCTGCATGTTAGGTAGATTGGAGATTGGGGAAATTGCCCTTAGGAGTGAATGTGAGTGTGAGTGGTTGTTGGTCCTTGTATGTCCTGTGTGTGGCCCTGCGATGGACTGGCGGACTGTCCAGGGTGTACCCTGCCTCTCGCCTGTTGACCACTGGGATAGGCTCCAGTTCCCCTGCGACCCCATGAGGGAATAAGCGGTATTGATAATGGATGGATTACTGTAAAAACTTGCTTTGGCATGCACATGTAGAGGGGTGAATAATAAGCTATTAGTGAATAAAAAACCAAGTAGAAAAAGGACACCCCAACATTATTTTTCATTTTTGTAATAAGTTAGATCGTTTTGTTTCATTTCGTCCGTGCAATTCCGCGCGCGGCCGCTAGGAACGCTGTCGCGTTCGTGGTGTAGAAAGGACTGAGCACACAAGAAGAATAAATCTTCCTGTTATGCTGACGGAAGCTCAACGTGTGTGTCTCATCTTTTCTATACCGCAGGTTAGTAAAAATGTATTATAATACATACACATTGATGTCCTTCGGGAGTTAAAGAGATTATTGAATCGAATTGTTGACTACTGAGTCATTTTGTCCGGTTTGTGTTTAATATTGTGTAAAAAACGGGACACAGTTCTGTTTGCTGGGGCATGCTAATGCTAGCGGACTTTGGTTTTTATGTATCAAGCTAGCTGAGAAGTGACTGAAGCACTGCTGATTTTATATGGAACTGGTTTGATGCACCCTTTATTTTTCAGTTCTGTATCTATTTATCTGGCAGATACAAGAAATTCTTACTGTTGTAAGAAAGATGCTGGGACATTATAAAATGTTTTATCTGTGTAGAATAGGTCTTGAAGGATATTAAAATATCATAAAACAAATTCATGCACTTTTATTTGAATTGTTAAAAAAAAAGCAAATATTTGACAATGTGTTCATTGTACAAGAAGAATAAATCTTCCTGTTATGCTGACGGAAGCTCAACGTGTGTGTCTCATCTTTTCTATACCGCAGCACCACACGTTGAGGGAAGATCATCATACACATTACCCTCAGCCCTCCAAGGTTGCAGGGTAACACACACTAATATTGAATGATTTTGCTAATATTACAATACCTAACAGAGAATCAGGTGATGTGATATAGTTTGATTTCATTTAGTCATTGAAGATGATTTTAAACATGAACACAGTCATATACAAACTACAAGTGTGTGTTTGCTATAAACTTTATTGAGGTCAGAAGTAGTCCTGGATGTGCCGTCACCCAGTAACAGTTCTAAGGAAGAACCCCCCACACAGTCAGTTTGATTTCAATCATTTCCTTTAAAAAACAAAAAAGTAAAAAAAATAAAAACAAAACATATTGATATACTTGTGCTTTGTTCAATTTGACAAAACCATGAAGATACATTTAAAAAGCGCCAAAATCCAAATAATATTAGTATCTGTTACACAGGAGTATCTATAAAGATAAGAATTTGGATTCACTAGGAAAATGTATAAAATATGTGGAGTGAGAATAAACCCCTTTGTAAAACTGTGTCACACTCTTTGGAGAAACTATCATTGAAAAAAAATCTAAACCAGTTATGCGTGTGAGAGGAACAAACCCTAGAATGAGAAGCTAGTCAGCAAACAAGTCAAAACTTGTTATAAGGTTTCTACCATATAAAAAGGATGGAACTAACTAAGTGAGATTTTGACAATGAATCTGAGTTTTAGTTAATTCTACACTTTGAGACTGCAAAGCCAAACAAGAACAACATTGCAATGCATTACAAAGACTATAGAAATTCTTGGAATTAAGATCTGATAGATAATGAGCAATGACAGCAGTCTTTTAGAATCAGTCTTAAATGTAACATGATATTTAATTTAAGCCTTTACTTTATTAATTTGTCAAAAGGCCAAGGTCAAGGCTAAAGTAACATAAACTGTTATCGTAAGAATAATCTCATACATGTAAACCAGACATTAAATAGGGATTTGTGGTGTCAGTGTGTATGTAGAGTACAAATTATCTGTCATCATTCTCTTCACTTTTTAGCTGATGCTGCCACTTAAAGAAAGAAAATTATAAAGATATATATTACAATGTTATCAAATATATCAGCTTTAAATAGACGTTTACATTTCCAGAACTTTTTTTTTCTTTTTTTCTTTTTTCATGGCCCTAGATAATCTACTTCAAACTGCCTAAAGTTTTGAAGTGTAAATCTTAGTAATCTATCATTAAGTCTTGTTCCAAGGAGAGGCAAAGCAAAAACAAAAAAAACAAACAAAAAAATGCTGATTTTTTTTATATATGTCATTTTAGCTTGAAAAACTTCCTTTAGCTTTCTTTCCAACAGTTTATTTTTAACGTGAGTTAAAGTGAAAGCTTATGCTAACAGGGAATAAGGAAAATTGCCTTTAAATTTTGCATTTGAGCCCGGACAGTTCGGTAAAACCTAAACTTTAAGGCACACATGATTAATTAGCACTCTAGGAGCACTTTAGAAAGAAGGCCACTTTTGTCTCAAAGATCGGTAAATGTTATGCTCACTCCCAGGTGTTTTTTCGGATGGTTTATATGGAACTTGATGGTCATTGTTTCAAAGTTCCCAGAAGAGTAGACAGAAAGCTAGGAGAAGGGGAGAACGGAGGAAGAAGCTTGAGCGGAGGTGAGGAGCTGGTCACTCCACGCTGGCTCATCCAGGTTTATTTCAACAAACGGGTCATGAGAGCAAACGGCTGCAAGACAGCAGAAGGCGGAAAATAGGTTATATATGTGTTTTGTTTTTATATTTATAAAAGGGGTTAGCATTTTTATTTTCTGTTAACGCATGTAATATATTGTTACCTACGGTTCAAAAGGAGTGAATCCAACAGGAAGATTTTTTCCTTCCAGTTGGATTTTTATACTTTTACACAAATGTTGACTTTTTCTAAAAAAGTATTTTTACGTTTGGATCTGCTTAGACGCCCTTACATGGATTGTTGTTGTTTTCATTTTGTTGCTCCTCAGCAGCGTCGAAGAACAAGTCAGCACTGCTCAGCGGATCAGCTGTGCTATCAGTTGGGTCATTGCCTAAAAAATCTGTAATATATAGATGGGATTTTTTTTTTTTTTTAATGGCAGCCTATCAGTGATTAGCCTGGCCACTATACACTTAGATAATGATAACCGAACACTTAAACAGAGCGCAGAAATATATTTAAATGTACCATTTTCATCACCGGGCCCCTTTTCCTCTGTCGGTAGACTTGTGCCATTGGTGACTGGAGAGGTTGAAAGGTCATCTGTGATCACAAAGTCTTTAGGAAATGGTTGGTCTGATTGACGGGACAAAGATTAACAACATGAAGTCACGATGAGTCATGTGAATCCAAATTTAATCTACTGCCAAAAAGCTCACCCATGTCATCGAGGTAAACTTGCTCAAAGGTTCCAGTGGGCTCATTTAGATGACCGGGGCTCGGACGGTGGAGATCAAATGAGTAAGTCTGAAAAACGGTAAACAAGATAATGATGGTACAGCTAGTACTGTTAAGAAAAACAAAAAAAAAACATTGTGACAGAGAAAGACAAACATATGTATGCTTTTCAGTTGGTTTCTTACCGTGGTTCTCCTTAGCCAATAGAGAATGACACACAGAATAATGATCGCCAGGATGATAAATACCAGTATTACATAAGCTGTGGAAAAGACCAAAAAAGTACTTTGAGAAAGAGTATAAATGCAGCTTTTTGTTTGTGTTTTTGTGTCTCTATTAGCAAATTATCCTCTGAATTATTTAAGTTTTGAGAAAATAAAATTTGTTATTTATTTAAGCTTTTAAAAAATACCAGGGCTCACCAGAAATCCTTTCCCAAAATCCCCCAAAGCAAGCAAGCACTTGAATTCTACATCAACATTTTCCAGCTGAACCTGAGAATGCAAGTTACTCTCTTTTCAGTGGCAGCTGAATGTGGTCTTTTTATGGTATTTGAATGGCAATAAAAAGGCAATATCATCAGTAGTGCAGGACTGTCCAGAAAAAGGGGAAAACACTTCAAAAAAGGGAAAACACTTCCTCACCCCAAGCGGGAGCACCCGAGCCTTCGCTGGCTTCTGAAAGAAACAACACGTAGTTCAGGTCGTAATAAAAAGGAATGGTTATAGATACAGAGATAGAGAATAGTTAATAGAAGAAGTTAAATAACATAGTTAAATTAATTAATTCAGAATGACTGAATATTAATTTAAAAAATCTTAATATTCATAGTTGTAAAGATCTTGCAGCGTTTCTATGTTTGGCTGTTTGCTGGATGGAAGTGAGTGTGTTTGTGTGTGTGTGTGTGCGAGCACATGATGTTTGTGGTTTAACAATCAGGAAGACAAAACCACGCGCTCAGCTTATGAATGTGCAGTTAGCATGAGGCCTGTACCTGCTGGGGATGTGATGACTTTGGTCGGAGGCGTCGACATCTTAGACCTCAGCATACTCTCCTCCGTCGTCCTTGACCCCCCTCCTTTGGTGGGCGTCGAGGTTGTCACATTGCCATTTTCTTCTTCATTTCCCTTCGGTTCAGCAACACTGGTGCTCCATCTATTATCCTCAGGCAGCTATAGAGAGCACATGGAAATCACGGACTGCTCCAGCAGTAAAGTTTTCATTTTAAATGGGGAGATCTCTCAAACAATCTGAATGAGCAAAATAATAGATTACAGTCAAAAGATGAAGCTTGAAAGAATCCTGGAAACCAGAAACAATGTTTGTGCTTATTGATCAAACCTATTGAGTTCAAATATTAAATTCCCATCTCATGAATATGAAAAAACTCCTCTAAAGCTGGATTTTTATAAATACAGTTGTCTCTGTTGGTGTTGAACAACGATCTGTAAATTGCTATCGTAGCTAAGCGGCTCAGAAGCTCTGGGCTCAGAACCCCCGAACGTCACAACTCCTCTCCGCCATTTGTGCAAAAGCAGGAACAGCAGTCGTTCAAACTGTGGCTGTTTCTGGATGATCATCAAACACAAACCAACTAGCACTTGTGTGTAGCATCTCTCCACATTGTCTGATTTGCTCTCGGTGGCAACAGAACTGCAGGAAGTCCCTGCGACTGGCTGCGGTTTGTCAGGAGGTAGCTCTAACACCCAAACCATCGTGGAGGCACAATGGTTTCATGTGTAAGAAGTTTATACTTTAACAAGAGCCAAGAGGACGCATATGTTTTAAAGTGAACTAGGCTCCAAGAGATGTTAAATCATTATGATAATTCTTTTCATAGTTTCTCAGTAATTTCTTTCCAAACCCAGAATTGAAGCAGTGATATCCCAACAGAATTTGTCATTCAGAGTTAAACTTATTAAATAAACTGCTTCTAGAAACTGACAGCTGTTACCGTGGTCACTTCTGTTGTTGTGAGAGGCTGAGACACTGCCGTCAAATTATCGTCTTCCGTATCGTTCAACTGAGTCGGTGGCAGAGTTCCCAAGATCTTGGTTGTTGTATCACCTGAAATGAAAACGGCAGGTTCAAATGAGGTCAGGACTTTGTAAACGAGTTGATCAGAGCACAAAGCTGCCGGCACATCTCAGTGTAGGCCGACAGCAGTTTAGGACAGGACAACACAACAGTGAGCGAGTTCGAACAGGACATTAACGGAAATGTGACATCACATGAATCACAGAAGAGAATTAAAGAGATATGAAATAGTTCAGTGTCGGACAATAGCAGAGGAGACAGAAATGCACCCTAAATGCACAGAGACGGCAGTAGTGGACAGAAGGGGGCTGGAGGCCAGGGTAAGTTTTCCAATCGCAACCCAAGACTGCACAGGATGAGGTGCCTTAATATGGCCTAAACCAGTGCTTTATCCCAAGGCAAGGCATTGAAAGCTAAATAGTATAATTTTTAGAATTTTGTTGAAGATATGACAGCTATTTCCCAATGTCTGATTTCCCCTTGCTATAGTCACACAACAACAGGCTGATTCAGCCAAGAAAAGTTCATATCTGAGGGATGACTGAAAACCATCAGGATGGCAGATTCCCAAATGAACTGTACACGGTCTAAATTAAATCTTGCAATAGATCATCATGTTATTTTTTGCTTTTTTAAAAAGCCATGGAGGACCACAAACGTATCTGAGCATCAAAGATGGACGCAACCTCTATCTGGAAAATGAAACCTAAGCAGGCAAATTGAGCAGTTATAGAACATACTGAGTAGGATTTGTTATACTTTGATTTGTTACCTTTGAAGACATTGCAATGAGTTTGTGGTGTCATCACTAGTGAAATGCTGTCTGAAGCTTATTGACACGTTGTTGTCCCCTCTTCAAAGATCATCTGGGGATTCGATGGTGCCGTGACATAAATGGCATCCGTGAATGACAGTGTGTTCTTTTTTCAAATCTTGGACAGACGTCACTAAAAACCTAATTAGTCACCTTTTGGTTTGGTTAACAACAGTTAGCATTCTTTTTTTTTCATTTGAAAGTCCCACCCATGAAGGGCCTTTTGTTGGTTGCTTCCATGACTTTTAAACAACACAATATGATGAAAGATTTACACTTTTTGGGCTCTAGATGATAACGGTCCATTTTCGGGGGCAGGTCATTTGGGTTTGTGTTTCAGACTGCAGGCGGGATTCCATCTCATTCTGCAAAGCTGCAGGAAATTCCGCTGCAGAAACTTCCCAGTACGCTGTATGCAGAGGCATGTGCACTAAGCTAATATTAACCCAGAAGTGTTAGTCTGCTCGTTTGGTTTTTCTATTTTTGATACAAAGTCAAGTTGTATCCTTTTACCGTTGCTGTTCAACAACCACTAAAACTTCTAAAGTTTATTTATGCATGTGTCTTAAATTGTGGATGTCTTTTGATGCTGCTGGGGATGTAAAACAACAAATGTGGGAGTTAGCAGTATAGTATAGTCAAGGTAAAAGCGGAAAGCAATTATCTTATTCATTCCATACAGGCTTTGGTCAGTGTTCAAAGTATATGGTCACATGTGTGCTGCTCTGATGATGAAGATGGGGATAAAGGAAGCCACCCAAAGAAAGATCCACATCTGGGCAGAGCAATTAAACTTAAGGCGGGTTGTTTGTAATATTCTCCTAAAGGGTAGAAATCTTCATCACGTGACACAGGCACATTTTTCAAAATGAATCACAGGCCCTGGCTAATGGACACAGCCTTTAATCCAAAAGAAGATCCACAGTTAAAGTCTAATATAACCTTACCTGTTGTCTCTATATGATGATCAGGGGTGGTTGCATTCTGTCCTCGTGAAACAGAAAAAACTCCTAGAACTAACACAGAGGGAAAAAATGTTTTAATCACTGAGACTAGCGCAGTTTAACTCTTTATTTATTAAACCATTGTTAAACTGTTGTTGCCTTAAACCAATTATTTTGTGTGCCATAGCTATTTAAGAGCTAGGTGTGAACTATCATATCAGCCAGCCTGTGCTGTCAGTTTCACTTGACTTGCTGCAGCAAAGTTTGAAAAATGTCAAAGCCAATGTGAAACAGAGCAATTCAAAGCACTGACACGTTACTTTAATACTACAACATGCATGTTTATTCTTCTTTTAGCATAATATTACTCTTCAAATGTGCAAATGCTGATTTCTTACTTCTTTTCAGCCACACACATGCTGGTTGAACTCACTTTTTCTTTTTGAGTTCATCTAATGAGCTGCGCTGATTAATCAATCCAAAACATTTTTCAGTCTAATATCAATTATGAAGCATCCTGGTTGTTTGATATTATTATAAACTTGTACATTGAAGGCACATGAAACAAGGTTTTTGTGGCATTTGCCTGCTCCAAATCAACTTCCTGCAAGCTGAACAGTTTTGAAAGTGTCATAATGTAATTCAAATGCACCCACTTTTTTACCTGATGGAAATACCAAAGTGTCTCCAGAAAACTGAACTAGGAAGCAAAAGAAAATGGAGAGGAAAAGAAGTTAACGGTTGAGCTAAACTCACCGAGGAAGCAGAGGCAACACGACAGCTTCATCGCGGTGATGACTTGATCTTTTTATCTGTTTGATCAGGTTGCTTTTTTTGTTTTTTCTTAACTGGGATGTATTCATCAGATAGTGTGTCGAGTTTCCTTTTTTTTTCTTAATATGATTCCCTTTTCTCAAAAGCTTCCTCCTCTGCAGCTATTCTCACTTCTTTGAATTCTCTGCTCGTTGCTCTCTGTTTCCTCCTCTTGAAGAGATCTCACCCGCCCCACTCCTCGTGTCTAGCTACTTGATTTTGCCTCCCCCCCGCTCTACTTCGCACCTCCAACTTAGTGGCTCCGATTCTACCCTCTGCTGGTCAATAAACGAACATTAGCGACGGCTGACCGGCTTTTTGGTGAGCAGGAGGACTGAGGCCCTCATAAGCCAGCATCTGTGTTGGACGCCTTTGAAGCTAATTGGGAGATGATTCATGCAGTCAGGTTGTGTAAATACCTAAATTATGCTGAAACACGCGCTGCATGCGTTTTTTCCTCCGTCTTTCATATCTCTATTATTGATAAAACATTTTAAAACCTAAATCAGCCCGCCTCTCTCTTCTGCAGTTCTGTCTCACAAGCCCCTAAACCTTAGTGTCACCCAACTTTCAGGAACTGCGTCACCAACCACAGAGCTGTAGCTCCCCTCTGACACAGGATGCCAGAGCGGCTCTGTTACCAGAAGCAACGGCCGTTTCAGATTCAATGTAATGATTTAAGGACATCGACATCAGGCCAAATATGCTAATTCATGTTGTAACCTCTTCAACATAACTTTCTGAAGTGCCTTTGTGCAAACAGAGCCTTTGAATTATTTGAAAATGTCCCCTCTATCAAACCAGTTGAAGACCTCCTTATAAAAATTAGTCATTAAAAGGATTTTTGCAAAAAAAAATTCCTCTTTTTGGGGGGCATGAGCAGATGGCCCCTAAGCGAAGGGGTTATAAAACGTTATCAAACAGATAGATTAACTAGTGACTATTTCCACTACTATCACCTCATATAATTAGTCTAAGATTCAAAGAACCGTCAGTGAAGTAGCATTTTGTTGCAGGTCATTTAAGATTTCACTAGATTGCCTTTTAGACACGATCGGGCAGCTTGATGTGTTTTTTCTCATATTAACAGGTTTTAAATAAAAGCAAAAGGGGATTAGGAGATACATGTCCCATGAGTTCATAGATGTATACTGAATTATAAGTAACGGAAATTATCATTTAAAAGGATCCACTGTGGAGGCTCTGTCTGGTTCTGTCTGGGTTGGTCTAACAGGTTTGTTTGGATGCTTTATCTGATTCTGAGCTACATCCTCATTAAATGTTAGTTTGCATATCTTGTGAATAGATCTCCCCTTAAAGAATGCTGCAATTTATGATCCAGAACTTTTAAATGAGAGCTGCCTGTCTGAAAGAAACCATTGAAAACACAACATAGGACTGTATTTCACATTTTGTGTGATTTCAGTGTCCCAAAACAAAACAAAAAAACAGTCACAGAGACAAATTTTCAATTCCAAGTCTTTTATCAAGAAAAACGCCAAAAGAGGAAGTAAAAAAAAAAGAACTAGTCTATTTTGCCCACAATGACCAATGCAGATTTTGCTTGATGACTCACTTTTATCTGATTATTTTTAAGATAGCACGAATGAAGAAAAGAGAGCACAGAGTAGGCAAAAGTAAGTCCCTCCACTGGCAGCTCCTCTCAATGAAATGCGAGCTTCTGCTGCATGGACAGAAAAAGAGACCAAGAAAAAGATATTAAAATGCAGGGTTAGGCTTAGTGGTGAACATGCCAGGTTTAATATAATTAGCATTTCTATGACCCACATACTATATTTCTCTGAGATGTATAAATAGTGATGTACCTACATTTTGGAGCAGAAAGTCAAATCAGTACTTTTTGGTGGGGTTTGCAAGTTTTACAAACACTTATGATAACGCTTCACATAATCTTCGTCAGGTTCTTTCTTTTAATCTCTGTGGTCATTTTTACAAAATCAACCACAGATGTGCTGTACTAGTATGTGATCAGTTGTATATTTTACAACCTTTTTTCCTTATTTCCCGCTGCACAGATAATGCAGCATTAAAACAGCAGCATTAAATTATAAATACTGCATGTTTGATGTTATATGTATGATATATATTTATATAATATACGTTTTGTGTGATGGTACAAATATGAGTAGAGGAAATTTTTTACCAGATGAGACGGGGGGTCGCTTTGTGTTTTTATCACCAAGAACGGGAAAGTTGCCTTCACCACTGCCCGAGTTGCCTTCAGCAACGACATAACTGTAATCATCATCGTCGCCATCATCTTCATTATCTGAATAGTTAGGATAATCTCCTCTTGATGATATGGTGGCAGCACCTGCAGGTATATCAGAGCAGATCAGTTTATCGGCAGTGGGAAAGCAAGTGGTGTGGCGAATGACTAGTGAGCGGTGATGTCTGTTTTCTGAGAGCATCTTTAGAACAAGCAGTACAGAAAGAGTGAGATCTTGTTGGGTTTTGGGGGTTTTCTCATTTTGGATTTAGTATTCGAAGCTATGCTTTCTTTGTTTTTAGAATGTAGCTCTGGTCATCAGTGCCAGTTATCCTGTTCCTTGTGTGGGTTTTTCAGGCTTACTACCCCAACTTTTTCCAGTTTATCTGATTTTAACTGCTATAACTTCCTCATTAGTTTCACCTAGAATATATTCTCATTTGTTCATGTCGGTCTTTACCACCAGTGCTGGTGGCCTGCCCCACTGAGACGTTCATCGGTGGAGGAAACCCTGAAATTCCTCAGCTGTGAAGTATAAATTTATTATAAGTTTTAAAAAGCTTGTCAGATCTTCCTAATTTGAGAAATATCAAAGTCAAATATTATTTCCAGTTTTGTTAGAATAAAACCCCAGGCCTGGTGCTTTCGTTCACATGCAATTTCCTCCTTTTGAAACAATTCGGAAGATGCATCAAAACTGTTTTAATAAGATAAAGGACCAGTTAACCAACAGTTAACTTAAGGATAACCTTACATTTTCTCCTCAGTTTTTAGCTTTTTTAAATCGAATCTGACAAAAAATAATGCTTAAAGCATTTGTTTAGAGATTTTTCTTCCCTATAACAGCTTGCTTTCATGTGAACTAGTTTTCTTGATTAAACCTATTCCAAATCAAGTATTACACCGTTCTGCTGAGATAAAGACTGTATAGAGATTGTAATTAATGATATGTTTCCTTTTCTGCAACAGTGATCACCTCTAACAATGTAAAAATTCCAGATGCGTGGTACTGCTGAGTGCCAGCTGGAGTTTAAACTGACTCACCGAGCGTCCACAGCAGCAGGTAAACGTTGATCACCGCCATCTCTGCCAGTTATCTTTTGTCTTGTAAAACCAAGGCAAAAAGCGTGGTTTGACTTTACAAGAACTGCACAGTAAGTTTTGAGGGTGTTCTGGGAGTAAGATTGCAAGACAGGAACCAACAAACCACAGTGCATCTCATCAGCTATTAATAGTTTTTTTTGTAGATGTGTCACTTCTTTGTAAGGGATGCAACCATTTTAAATCAGTTCAGGGGTCTTTATACATCTAATCCAGACAAAACTGGTTCATCCAGTTCAGGTTCAAAGCAGACATGAGACAAATGAATCCCTCTGTGAAACGGCAAACACTAAAATTGTGATCAGCTTCTTTTGGGATGTGTTTGTTAACTTTATCTCATCAAACTATTTCAAAAGGAAAGTTCAGTGAAAAGGAGAAAGTCACTTTTTCACAAAGCGATGGCATTGCTCATTCACATTTTGATTTAACCACTGAAAATCCCCCCACTAACCCAATTTGTGCCAAGCAAGGACTATCAGGACTGGTTTTGTTAGATTAGATTAGATTATTTAAATCACTTGATTTAGGGAGAAGACTTTATTTAGGGGGGTTTGATTGGGTGCAATTCAGAATTTTACCACAGACTGACACTAAAAGCAACACATTACCTTTTAAATTTTAAAGAAATAGAGAATTCACCAAACTATCAGTGAAACAACGTTGAATTGTTTGCAGACATCTGGTCTAACTCTGTGAAGGGCATGAAACAGCTCACAACAAAAGCAAAAATTCAAATGTCCATTTAATGGAAAAAAGACACTTTCAAAACAGTGGATTTCTGTTCTCACACATATCTTCAGTGTTTAGCTTTTATGCACAGGAGTCATTCATTTGCATCATTGAATTCATTGCTTTTTATACAAATACAGCTCAAGATTACATGACATTGGCTAATTTGCCAAAGGTCAGTGTTGCTGCACGGTTGGCAAATCTGACATCTCCTAGGTCTTCTTAATGTGACGCCACTTCAGCATGTTTCAGGTCAATTGTACTCGTAAGATTCTGCATTAATATTTCCATCCTAAACAGAAAGCTGATTTGAAATAGCAGCTGCAGGAACATTCTCTTGCCACCTGAACCACCTTTAATATACCTTTATCTGTCAGTGCAAAGATTCAAGAAAACTAGTTTCACAGATCCCAAAAATACGTAGAAAATGTCATCGTAACTTTAAAATAATCTCCAAAAGATTTTATAAATAGAACTCCCGGTCAAAAGGGAAACTTCAACATTTCAAGTGCAGTCAGGAGTATAAACAACATGAGCATATAAATTCACAAATAATCATTTTGACTTTAAAATCCTCTTAGACCAGTCCTTTCCTGTCCATTAATCCTTAATGCGATGATTTAAGCTAGATATTTTGGGCTTCCTCTGACCAACAGTCAGGTGAGATGCTGTGCTCCTGGGCGATGGCTGCCAGCTCTTTCAGGAACTCTGCGAACAGGACAATGGCGAACACTCGGCTCTTGGCCTGGGGAGGAATTGTAGGACAGGGCGGCAAGACACTGAGTGGAGGCAGAGGCAGGGCATTCTTCACAGAGCCATTGGGAAGAGATGCATCTAAGATGAAGTCCCCATCGTGAGACTGGAGGCACTCTGAAATGCATAGATACATGAGGTCTGAGGTTATTTTTCACACCTTTAGATTTGATTCTTGCTTTGTTATTTTGAACCAGTGGGACGTCTACAAACCTGCTCCCGTCCCTGTCTTTAGTTGTGCAGAAAGACTGTCTAAAACTATTAAAATCTTCCTACTTTCCTATGTCTAGTTTAATCTAACTTAAACTCAGCATTCAAATTACAGTCATTTTTCAGGAAGTTTATATTTTCTGAAAGCAGTGTGGTTTTACAGTCTGTACGTGTTTTGTGTGCACTTCTTAACCTCTAAATTTGGCATCTTGGTCTTTAGCCAACAAAAACCTCCAGGCCTGAGTGACCAGGGCGGGGTAGTCTGGTCTGTCTGCCACATAACGCTCAATCTGAGCGTGCACTGACACCAGCACCTACAAAAATACACACCACAAGTACTAACAATGTTATCACAATAAAATGAGTGATTTCTTTGTTGTTGTTTTTTTAGCTTTGTGTGGGTATTACCTGGTATAGTGTCCGTACGCTGGTATGGTTGGGCGTGTGTGTGCTCAGCAGAAAGGATCTCAGGAGGGGCTGTGGATACGATGCCAGCTGGGCCAGGATGCCCGTCACCAGCAGGTTAACAGCAATAGTGTTTTCCAGGAGGTTTTCCAGCCGGGACAACAGGACGCTGATAAAAGGTCCTGGTGTACCATGGGAAAATACAGTAAAGTATAAAGATTATTGACATCTAGGGGAAAGTAGCTGTGGTTGGATTTTCCACACAAACACTGACCTGTAAATGGAACTCCATGTTTCCTGCTGCTCCTACTCTCCTCTCCCTCATGTTCCTCTTCCATAACCGCTGTCTCTCCTTCATCGTCTACATCATCCCACGAGGAGCTAAAAGCAAAATCAGTGCCAAGCTCCTCGTCCTCCTCTTCAAGTTTTTGCCTCAGCTGTTGAACCCGGCTCCTAAACGTGCAGATGTTGTCCGTGATGTCGTCACAGTCCGGCTCCACCCCTAAAGAGAGCATGAGCTCATAGTATTGAGACAGGAAGTTGTTGTCATTGTCGTTGTTGGGAACTTGCTTTTTAGGCAGATTTGGAGACTTGGCATTTGATGAAGACGAACAAAGTTTTTGTGGCTCGGGTTTAAAATGGCCATTGGGTACAGAGTTTGACTCTAAACATTGCATGTGAGGCGGGTTGTGATGTGTACGCGGCTGATGTGCTGTGTGCATGTGATTGACACAAACAGTGACATCATTCACACTGAAGTTTTGCTTGAAAGGCTCAATTGCTCCATCAGTGTCATCAAATTTGTTGATGATGTGATTCTTTCCATGAAAACCATTGGTGAAGAGATGCGACTCTCCTACTCCAACAATTCTTATCTCGTCCTCTTCTTCCTCCTTAGTTGTCCGCAGTTCCCTCACACAATCTTCACTCCTTCTCCTCAGAATTTTGCTATAGTCTTCACTCCTCCTTCTTTCGTCTTTAGCAAAATCCTCGCTCCTCCTCCGGGTCAACATGATGCTGTTAACGGTTTCCATCACTGTCCTCCCTGTTGTGGTCCACATTGTCGATAGTGTTTTCGTCACTGCCGTTGACACTGGCTGTCCTTTTGAAATGCTTCCACGGGAGCGTCGGTTTGCTGCCTTGATGCGTTCCAAAAGGGCCGCCTTTGTGTCTTTCTGAGCCACTAAATCATAGACCAGCACGTCATCCTGAAACTCTGACTCCTCTACGTACGAACCACGCACCAGCTTGGTAGCGCTGCGACGCATTTCCTGGATGTGTCGAGGAGGCAGTGGTGGCGGTGCTGGAGAAGAGCCACATTTGTCACCTTCTCCAGCTGCACTGCCATTGGCCAATGCCGCATTCAGCGACAAGGTAACATCCTCATCTGCAAAAATGTCGTCCCACTCCAGCTCAAGTGCCGAACTGCCTCTTCCTGTCTGATTACTAATGGAGATGGTATCTGAGGAAGGTGTTGGGGAGAGGGCTAAGGGGGGAGGAGTAATGACCAAAGAGCAGATGGAGTTGCTTTTCACTTGTTTTATCAGCTCCTCCTCATCATCAATGTCGTCTGCTGGTGTGTCGGATCGGTACTCTTGGGGAGGAGGGTTTATCCCATCATACGGGGCAGACCAGAGCCGACAGGCCCTGCAAACAAAACAAAACTGTCAGAGCTGAGGGTAGTCATAATAGTTGTAATATTCTACTTCTACACTGTCATTTTTCAGTGCTATTCTCAAGTCATTAGAGATTGTTGGTCAGTTTTTTGGTAAACCTACAGGCATGGCGCTACCCTCGCCCTCTCCTCATACCCTCACCCTCTCCAGCCTTGGGACGTAGATTTGAACATCCATAAAATTCTTTGAGCATCAGAAAGATCTTAGAATAAGGGTAAATTAGTTTCTTTATTCTTCATTAAGACACTCCACCTCTCATCCAGAAGGCCTGATCAGCTCTAAACAACTTGGAGGGGGGACTTCAGCTGTCACGTCACACCAACCTATTACTGTGTGCAAGTTCCCCATTTGTGAATTTTCTTTAGAAATGGTAGGAGACTAAAGATAAAGATCATCTAATTTGTGCTGCTGTCACTGTAGAACGGAAGTATCAACATTGTGGTTTACCAAAAACCAATATCTGCTGATCATCTGCTTTTCTTTTCTTTCTTTTTTTAGACAATAAAGATAAAGCTGATGCCATTAGAACTCCTCAAAAAGTAGAAGGATTTGTGGGGAGAAAAAGGACAAATTGATATAACTTGATATGCAGTAGTCATTTCAAATCCAGGTTATACACATTATACTTTTTTTGTTTTGTTTTGCATGTTCCTCCAAGTAACTGGCGTGTCATCTCCTTTCCTTACCAGAAAGTAAGTCATGCAAAATGTTGGAAGACAAATAAGATACTTAAGCTCATGCTCATGGCCAGGCTGAGCTGTTATTACAACTACAAAACCAAACACACTGACCTGTGCGAGTTGGAGATAGCCTGACGGGCCTCCCAAAGGTACTGAAGGTAGTTAACGTCCATCAGAAAATCCGAACCGCGACAATAACCAACACTGTCCGACACTGAAAGATCTGACACAAGGGAACGGGAATTCTCGTAATGAATATATTTCTCTGTTAAATCACCCTTATGTCATGTATGGGTCGGTCATGCTGACCTTCTGCTTTGGGCCAGCGGATCTGCTCTGAGTCTGAGGGGGTGTTCGTGTTGTGAAAGTACACCGGGCACCAGGAGGGCATGAGGAGCAGGAACAATGTGGAACTGGAGGAGTAGCAGTCCCTGAGCTGTAAGGAGCTGCGCTGCCTCCGGTTCAGGTGGCTGCAGGGAATCAGATACCTGTGGAGAGGAGAACTCATTACACATCACTGCCTCCCTGTGGACTGAGTGAGAAAAACACCTAACAGGACTGTAAAGAGACCATTACCTCAAGCTATGTGGAACGGGAAGGAAATGAGCTAATGTTTAGAATTTTTTGTAAAAATAAACATCTTAGTTTTTGTTTTACTACTGTAAAACAAAGTATGCAGCAATTTTGAGTGTGAATTACTACTCATTCAACAGAGTCTGTGATCTAAAGGATGCTCCCCAGTCTTCTTGAAGGACATTACAAAGCTTTTTGTTGGATTTTGAACCCATTTTATAGAGGATTTAAACATCCTGCTTCAACTTCATGAGCTTATAGGTACAGACCTGAACACCAACTGGAGCATCACGTCTTCACAGAAGAGACCGATCAAAGTTCTGAACAGAGCCAGCGACACCGTTCCCAACTAAAGGACGGAAAAAGATGAAGGACTCACAATCATAGAGTGTGAAGCGGCTGCAGAGGGTGCTTAAAACTGTGGGAGGTATACCTGGAAAGGTGTGTTGACCCTGCTGACCAGTGTGTCCAGGATATGCACGTTGTCGTGTGTGTGCAGCAGGATGAAGGACAGGAAGGTCTGGAGGAGGGCAGGCTCAGAGATGGAGCGCAGGAACAGATCCAGGTACGCCGTGGTGGTCATCACCTCCTCCACCGTCAGCTACACACAGCGACACCACGCGTTATGGGGGCCACAATGGGAGCACAATGGCACCCTCGAGATTGAAGTAGTACTTTTTGAAAATCCATCACGAAATCATGCTATTTTTTTTATTACTGTGCTTTATCCAGTTAAGTGGCTCTACAAATGAAGACAGTGTAGACAGCAGAGATGGGGTGCGATACCTTGTGCAGAGCAGGGGCGAGCACCGGCACGAGGAAGCCGTTGTAGATGTAATTCAGTAACTGGGAGCAGATGGAGGGATGAGCGGCCTGAGACAGAGACAAAAACAGCGTTTTTTTCCCTTCCTAAAAAGCTGCATCTTTGCATGTGTGTGTTTGGATGATAAACGTTACCTTAGTGACGGCGCTGCAGAAGTCCAGAGAGTGCAGGAAGTGGACAAGAGCTGGAACCTGTAGACCCAAACTCTGGTTAAGAGTCTTTATTATGCATTTTATCATTCATTTCCAGAAGGCTTAGATTTTATTGAACAACTGATCATTTCCTTACACAAAAAATTATTTCAACGTACTAAGTGTCTTATTTCATCATTTGTATGGAAGTGCTCTCGCTTTTTTGTAAATTAGTCGACCAGTTTGGACCCAAATGAGATATTCTTCTTATTTTCAAGAAAGTTTTGAGATTTATTTCACATTCACACTGCTCAGAGGACAAATAATTTGAGATGTGATTTTCATTTTGCCTCACCTCAAGGGAAAACACAAAGGGCTGCTATGATTTGATATACTCTGAGTCTGCACACTAACAGACAAAATAGTGAAAGACAGCCGTGGTTACCTGTTGCCAGTCTCCCTGGTCTAGACAGTGCCAGTCCTCACTGTACACCTGCAGCCTGGCTGGAAGAGACGAGTACAGACCAGACAGACCTGTGGCCAGCACCTGGATCACACACACACACACACACACACACACACACACACACACACACGCTCAGATGAAAAAGACAAGCTTAAAGCCAAAAGGTTTCTCTCTACAAGTAAGGACAAACCTTAACACTTAACCTCTGACCTCAACCACAGTTCGGAATTGTCATCCTAGTTGCCTCAAAATTGCAAAGAACAAAACCTATAAAAGTAAAGATTGACTAAAATAAATGTGAATTATGAAAATCTTTGCTGATGCCAGTTTTTTTAAATGACAGTTTGGTAATAGTCAATGTTAATGTTTGTGTAATGCGGTTTCCGTTTACTGTCAGAGAACCGATAAAACATGTAAAAATAATCACCTCTCCATCAGTAAATTATCTTAAGATTATATCCTGCTAGTGTATAAAAAGATTCCTTCTGTTAATGAGCTTTAACCAACTTATTTTACGTGGGAAAGAAACCATTCAAAAAGATTTTATCACCTGTTGAAAAAACCTGATGCCTGTTTTTGACTGTACTTTCAGATGATTACCGTAATATACAGTACATTTTTCTTACAAAACCGAAAAATAAGTAAAGGTTGACACTGGCCTGTGTACCAGTGTTAAAGCTGTGAAAGCTATGCCAATGTAAAAGATATTATTTGAATGAAAGGCCCTGAGCGAAAGAGAAAAGACGAGAAATATTAGGATTTGATTTGAGAACAAACAGGGTGGGGTAAAAGTCAGAAAAAGTATAAGGGTGTAATGGTCTAACAGCAGCAGCACTGGTGGTCAACAGCTGCCCTCTGGAGTCTTGTTAGCCATCAGGCAGCCGTCCAATCATGTGCAGACTTGCTAATCCCTCACTGCGGACCAGCCAATCTGTATCTGATTTACTAATCTGCTCTCTGCATGAAGATTGAGGTCACTGTGTGGTCACATGGGTTTAAAGCTGGCACTCTTAACCACGCGCAAACACGGACTGGGGTGGCACATGCTGACGTGCCTTTGGCTGTCCTCGCACATATACTCACAATTTTCTCTCACAAAAATAGTAAAACCAAAAACCAGCAGAGGTAGAGCCAACATGGCTGACAAAGCACGGGTAAACCCCTGAAAGGCATCGCTTCCTGTCTTTTCGCAGCATTTTGTTCATGTTCCATTTGTTTTACATTAGCAGGTCACTGTTTTTCCACAGGTCTGCAATTGTTTGCAAGTTTCAGCACATTTTTCCACATTTCTTTAACCATTACTCTTGTGCCTTTTCTCCTGTGTTTCTCTCATTTTCTCCCATTCTTCATTTCTTCACTTCCCTACCAGTCAGTCCATACATAAGCTGTCCCATGAGGAAGCAGTATGAGCTCATTATTTCATTACATAACTAGTAATAATTAGATTACAATACAACAAGGGGATGAATGAGAAAATGTGGCTCATGCAGTGTGCTAAAAAAAAAAACTGTTTTCATTCATTTAAAAAGACATCTGATAAATATCTGCTGAATAATCACTAATCATGACCTGACTAATTATGAAGCATTATGTGTGGATTAAACACAAACCTAATTCATTGTAGGGTTAGAGTGAAACAGGCCAGTGTGTACAGCTTTTGAAGCATCTGAAAACATCCCATCAACATCACTATAACGTACCTTTTCTTATTATAAAAAAAGCGAGTGAGAGATCATTCCTGTGACCTAGACCTAATCATGTGCAGATGCCTTAAATTTTATGACTTGCAGAAACTCAGACAGTCTTAAAATGGCCATGAATGTTGTGGCAGAGGATAGTCTGACAGTCCGAGGATGCGGCATCTCCTCGGTTGTGTAGAAATACACCCTTGGGGTTTCATGGGAACTAATCCATGGAATGTTTTTTTTTCTAATGGTTTTCTGTTTTTATGGCAGAATTTTACTGGTGGTTCATGTTAACCTCAGCCTATTTGTTTACTTACAGGACAGAAGTATGTGTTCTCTGCGATGTGCTGAGCAACTCTGGGCTCAGAGGCGGACAGGGACATGATGACCAGCAGAGCGTCTCTGGCCTGTTGACCTACCAGGCCCTGCCTGCAAGAGACAGAAGGTTTTATTCAATTCTCTAAGTGTACAGTAATGATCTTTAACATTTTCAGACGGGTGAAGTTAAGGTCTGGGGAGGTCTTGTTCATGCAGTTGTTTAAGTTTATTATCATTTGGGTTTTTATAATGTTTTGATTCTTAACGCATTGTAATTTAAAGAGGTTTAAATTATTTTCAATGTTTGAATACAAATTATCTTTTGCACACTGGCAGTAGAGTCCCTGCCTGCATGAATGAAGCACATATGACATGCACTCAGCTGTGTCTACAATTTATTTACAGGTGAGTGTAAATCCATCATACAATCCATCACACCTACATGACGTTTGAGCATGTGTGTCCCGACCTGTGTGTATATGGTATGAGCAGGGAAAATAGTAGGAAGTTGGCAGCTCCTTGGTCCTCGCTGGTGTGGAAGAACAATTCCAGTACTGAGGGATCTTTGACCAGAGCCACACAGAGCTGGTTCAGCAACAGCACCAGCTCGGCCTCCACCACACCCCCGCTGTCTGCGCCAACAAGTGCAGGTGATTATCAATCAAGACAGAGATTTAACATAATACCTCTATTCCAGGCCAAAAAGATAAACCAACTCCATGGACCAACTGACCCTAACCCTATCTTTTGAAAATGTGCGTGTGCCCGACTCACCGACTGCTGCTCCAGCACAGGAGGCCAGCAGCATCATGAGTGGCCGCAGGATGGGTTTATGGTGGAGGAGAGGCTGTTTGGCCTGACACAAAAGCATCTGGTACATCCTGAGCTGCTCCAGCTTCATGTCCTCGGTAAACTGTCTCCTCAAGCTCCACAGAAACAGTCTCTCCATCACCCCCTCCAGAACCACAAACTCCAGAATGGGACCCATTGCTCCCCCTGTTGTGAGCACATTAGCAGTCAGGGCATCAAACAACACAGCGGTTTGGTGTAGCGCTTCTTTTTGGGTGTTTGTGGGTTTGCGTATGCATACCTTGCCCCGCATCTTCCTCCATTAGCAGAAACAACATGTGTTCCACGTAGTTCTGGACGGCGCTGGCCTCGTCAGGTGGAATGGGACCGAGACGCAACGCTCCAGCGCTGCTGCTGCTATGGTGACCGGAGAGGAAACTCAGCGCTCCGGAGCTGCTGCGACTCGGTTCGTGTTTCTCCAGAATCTTTACGACCTGCACAGAGAAAGTCAACAGGGACTTTTAGTTGACGTTTTCAAAATGCCTGAAGAAAATTATTGTAACTCTAGGATGAGAGAAAACTCAAAAGCAACTTTAAAAATTCCTGCAGAAACTTGATGAATTAATACTTTAAATCCCCATTCTCACACAAATAGTCCACAGGAGACAGTTCACTGTAGACGTGAAGCTGGAGCAGATCAAGAGGGATCAGATGCCTTATATGTTTAAACAAGCTCACCTACGGGTTTTTAAAGATCTTCTGGTGATGTTTGGGGAAATGGGGGAAAAAAAATTAAGACTTTCAAAGCTGGCTGAAATGTCCAGATTAGAATTGTTAATGGATATCCCTTTTTAAGCCATTCAGCCCTGGTTCTGGTACCACACCTTTGTGAACAGTAAAACTTTATTACAGCTTTTTGTTTGATTATATCTGTTTTGTGCAACACTAGTTGGGAGACACTAGTGTTGAAGTAAATGTACTGACTTCCCACAAAAAACAACTTTAAATGTAACTGGAAAAAAAAAGTTTAACTCCTGCAAAAGGTTTTGATTAATAAAGAAAATACTGGGGAGGAGAAACAATTAATCGAATACTGAAATAAAAAATGGGGAAAAAAGAAAACTGTAACATACGGTCTGGACTTCTCTTAACCTTTGACCTCAACCTTTTTCCGCACATGGACCGCACACACACACACACAGAACATATATTTGTGTACACAGATACAGAGTGTGTGGGATCTCTTGGCAGGCACAGGGAGAGATTTGCTCTAAATGGATCCAGTGTTTAAGGGCCAAAGTCTGGGTCAGCAATGCTCACACACAAACAATCACACTCTGTGTCTGCTGGTGATTATGAGGAAAGCAGGACGGACCGAGAGTGAGAGGAAGAAGAGATGGAGAGCCATGAAAAACAAGGGGAAAGTGAACTTTCTGTCTGAGATATTGATTGGCTGGGAGGTTGACGAATGATGATAGAGAAGGGAGTGAGTTGGTTACCTGCGCCCAGTGGTTCTTGAACACAATCATGCAGGTCTCAGGGTCCACGCCTGTCAACGTGAGCGACTTCTTCCGGTTGCCTCCGACAACCACTGAGGCCATCATTTTGACTGTCCGTCAGGTTGCTTAGAGCATGCTCCAGCTCACCGTGTGGAGGATGTTGGCTGCTGATGGAGGGACCAGGGGGCATTACCCTGCTCTCTGAGACCAAGATCAGGACCAGTTTTGTGGGATGCTGAGTGGCTTTTGGCCTGAAGGAGATGGACAAAACGGAAAATGATACTAAAGTTCTTGTTCATGGAAAAGCCAAATAAATCAAAAAGCTGTTTTGCAACCATGTGGAATAAGTGCCTACTAATAATTTCTCCCAAACAGTCAGAGTCACAGTTAAAGTGTTACTGGAACTGAGTAACAAATGTCTGGATACAATTTTTAAAAAAGAATTCTATTTCATTTCTTTCAAAATCTTTTCTGTAAACAAAATTTGTAATTTTTTCTGGAGCTTTGAGCTATTTATTTGCCAATCAAAAGATCCCACTGACAGTTAAAGCATAAGGATGCCGACTTTAATTTAGATTATATGCAACAAAAAAAATCACAACAAAAAAACACAGTTTAATAATCAGACCATTGATAACTAATATTGGTCTATGAATATTCAGAGAGTTTCATGAGTTCATTTTGACTTTGTTTGATGTTGATGGTACGGGCTGTGGTGGCTTTTTGTGAGTCAAATCAAAACAGCCTTATCTTTGCAACTGCATGTCTCGCGTGTACCCAATAATACAAATCAGCGATAACAGCCCACTGGCAGATTCACTATGACATGCAAAACTTAGAGTTCAACAAGTCAGATTGAAAGAGAATGTGTAGAGTGTGGGAAAACAATCATACATTACATTTTTCTTAGCAATAGGTACGTTAAAGACAGTTGAGAGTGGTTTCATATGATGAAAAGTGCAATTAACTGTTCTGGAAACAGGATCATGTAAAGTTTCCACTGTGACTATGCAGGTTTAAAAATGATGTATATATATGTATATATATGTGTGTGTGTGTGTGTGTGTGTGTGTGTGTGTGTGTGTGTGTGTGTGTGTGTGTGTGTGTGTGTGTGTGTATGTGTGTGTGTGTGTGTGTGTGCGTGTGTTTGTGTGTGTGTGTGTGTGTGTGTGTGTGTGTGTGTGTGTGTGTGTGTGTGTGTGTGTGTGTGTGTGTGTGTGTGTGTGTGTGTGTGTGTGTGTGTGTGTGTGTGTGTGTGTGTGTGTGTGTATTTGTTTGTGTGTGTGAGTTCTGTTAACATGAAAATTAAACTTTGATAAATGGCTGCCAAACTATGACTGTAATAACAAAAATTACAGCTTGATTGTATATGTTCTCTATATGGTTCTTGTAAACAGTCTATGGCCCTTTTCCTTTCTCAAAATCCAATTTTCCCCTTAGAACCAGTTATCACGCTGAGAAGTTAGAACAGAGTAAGTCTATCCAATCACAGTTTACAAACTGAAAACCTCCAGCAGGTTTAAAACTTAACCCACCATCATCAGCAAAACACAAAATATATATATATATCGCTTTAGGAAGGATGTTGAATCCTTCCAGTGGAATACCCCATCTTTAGATGTGTAAACTGTATGTGACTTTTGTGAGAGCATGCAGCATCCATGTATTGTCCTATGGATACAATCTCTTCTTAGATTGATTTCCTTCCTTCCATGTTGACTGGTTTAATTTTATTTCACCATGTTATAAAAATGAGGGTAGAGATTGTAGAGATTTAAGGGTTCAGGAAGATAATCTATGACAATAGTGTTTATTTTTAGCTGTTCTCACGTCACAGCACCAGGAATAGCATGACTGCCAATCAAATTCATACCTATAATTCAAAACCTTATGTGTTATGTGATCAAATTGAGGATGTTTTTTTGCACGTTAAACCTCTAACCTGTTCACCTGCCTGTTACACTGATAGCAGACATGCGTTTTTGTGTGAGTTTACAGTCCTTTTATATGTCTGGTCTTGTTCTTTCTTTCTTTGATTTCTCTTTTTAAGTCTGGACACCAGCAGCAGCTAAGGCTGGAGCAGGAACTGTGGGTCGTCAGAGGCAACAAGCAAACAGGAAAGTAACGGCGCTTACGAGTCCCACCCTGGGCGTTCCAGGAAATTCCACAAATACCCATAGAGGTCTCCAAGATATCTCCCTGCAGTGATCGTACCTCTGTGCTGCCGCTGCTGCTGCATCATGGATGAGTGAACCAGTTGCCAGGCATCCTGAAGCAAAGAAAGCCATATGAGTCAAAGGTTAGAAACTGTACAAAACACACAGACGCCAAAATTAAATGTTTAACTCCTCTAATCCTTTTTGCCCCAAAATGAAGACAGGTCTCCTCTATATAAGTGTGTAAACACATTAATGTCCCCACAAGATGGTGTAAGGGGAAAATACCAATCATCATAAATGTAACTGTTTGAATAGGAATCATGTACTCTCACAGTACTTACTTTTTACTTTCCTACACAGAGATGGGAGCGAATTGTTCAGATATGACACATGTACCCTTAGAATGCTTACTATTCACTGTTCACAGGATATCTTATCCTAAAGGAAGATTATACCTTGCTGACTAAATTCTGGGGCCAATAAATATTAATGCAAAATGCTGTACAATCAGAGCGGTTCGGTATGTCATACTGTTCACACGTGCGGTCGAGCTGGTTTCTCTCCCTTCATGAAGTTTAATCTCTCCTTCTAATAAATTTCCATTTCTTACATTCTCAGACGGACTTAGACTCTTATATGAAAAAATATACACAGATATATACATATTCATCCTATAACATCTTAGACCCTAATCTGTGTGTGGGTGGGTTAAACTGTTGGATTTTGGTCCACTTTTCTGTTTGGTCATCACGTTTTTGCTACTGGCTGTGAGTCTCTACATACATGGCATTCTGTATGTGTGTGTGTGTGTGTGTGTGTGCACACACTGTGTCTGTTTTTATTAGTTATTCACCCTGGGATTCAGAACATTTTTGCTTGGCTCGTGGAATTTTTGTAAAGACTTAGGCTTTCTAACAAAACTTCAGTGACACTCACAATAGTTGTGCAAAGTCATTTGAATGTGTGTGAGGCACAGTATTTGAATATATTTAGACCGGTGTGCTAAGAGAACGACCAGTTGTAGTTTTTGGAGTCAACAACGCTTGTCAGTTCAGACTACTTTATTTGAGGATTTAGGCTCAGGGTTATGTTTCAGGTTAAAATGAGGTTTAGGCTCAGATAAGGACTGAGTCACGTCCGTTGCTGTCCTCACAAAGAAGTTTAAAAAAGTGTGTTTGTTTCAGACAGAGGGGGGAAAAACAGAATTAATCTGAGATGAGACAGCGATGTTTAATCCCAGACCAGCCCCGTGTGTGTGTGTGTGTGTGTGTGTGTGTGTGTGTGTGTGTGTGTGTG